CCCCCCCCCCCCATCCTTGTTTTCCCCAATGGTGGAGCCTCTAATTGTCCTGTTCTTGGGTTGTGTGCAGGATGGACGATTTTCATCTGTGTGAAGAGATCACCAGGCTGAAGAAGGATCTGCAGAAATTTGTGGCCATTCCGGGTAAGAACCAATAAGGAGGCCGAGCAAACATTGTGACTGAGGTATCAAACCAAAAAAAAAATCAGGTCTACTTTCTAGCCAGACAGGGCTGTGCTGCACGGCAGAGCAGTGTAAATCTCAGGGGCGGATGGACAGAAATACAATTTCCAGTGGGAGTTAAATAACCAGCATTGGTGTCCGTGACCACAACAATAACCCCCAGCATTGGTGTCAGTGGATGTAATAATAACCCCCAGCATTGGTGTCAGTGGATGTAATAATAACCCCCAGCATTGGTGTCAGTGACCACAACAATAACCCCCAGCATTGGTGTCAGTGGATGTAATAATAATCCCCAGCATTGGTGTCAGTGACCACAACAATAACCCCCAGCATTGGTGTCAGTGACCACAACAATAACCCCCAGCATTGGTGTCAGTGGATGCAATAATAACCCCCAACATTGGTGTCAGTGGATGTAATAATAACCCCCAGCATTGGTGTCAGTGGGCCCCAGTCGGCCCGTATCCGGTGTGCAGTTCCGGACGCAGGTCTCTTTAACATGCAGAATAACGAGAAGTTTCCTCTTTCCAGAGAAGGAGAGGACGCAGGACGACCATCACAAGGAAGAGGAGCTGCTCCAGCGCATCAACAAATTAGTGGAGACGCGGGATTTCCTGGTAGACGACGTGGAATTCGAGAGGTTGCGGTAAGTGGTCCCGACTCAAAATTTTCACTTACCTATCCGAGGTTTCGGGGGGTGGGGGATACCCACTTCTGCTGCTATTATTCATTATGTATGACCCCATCAGCGGTCCAAACTCCGGTGAGAACATCCAAAGGGGAGAAGAGAGCAAAAGGGGAGTGGGAGCTGGATTTGGGGGTCAGGGCAGGCAGCCCCCTCCCTAATATCCTCTCACCTGCTTGACCTGATGCTGACAATGCACGGCGTCCCCCAGCTCCTGAGTGTGCACAGCGGCATCAGATACAAAACGAGCCCTATATGCTACTTCTCACTATGTGACGGGTTCTCTTTAGATCTCTATGAACCCCTATAAGGGCCTGTAACCAGGCTCCCGAGCTGCTGCGCCTCCTCTTTGCACCGCCAGGTATTGGTACCCTAACGCTGTGACGCTGTCTCTTCTCAGGGAGCGGGAGGAGGACAAGGACATGGCGGACTTTCTGCAGAGCCGCCTTTCCAAGAGTTACCTGAAGAAAGCAGGTGAGCTGGGCCGGTATTGTGATCCTTTGTGTTCTATAAGGAGCAAGATGGCTGCCAGGGTGCCACAGCAGCCGTAGCGCCCCCTGCAGGTCCTGCGGTGACTCTTTCCCATTGTACACCTTCCCTTCCTCACCCCTGTCATTTTCAGAAGGCCAGCTGCAGGCAGGAGGAAGCATTTCCTCGGTCTCCCCTCTCCCAGTGATCAGTCTGCTGCAGGCAGGAGGAAGCATTTCCTCGGTCTCCCCTCTCCCAGTGATCAGTCTGCTGCAGGCAGGAGGAAGCATTTCCTCGGTCTCCCCTCTCCCAATGATCAGTCTGCTGCAGGCAGGAGGAAGCATTTCCTCGGTCTCCCCTCTCCCAGTGATCAGTCTGCTGCAGGCAGGAGAAAGCATTTCCTCAGTCTCCTCTCCCCCAGTCATCAGTCTGCTGCAGGCAGGAGAAAGCATTTCCTCAGTCTCCCCTCTCCCAGTGATCAGTCTGCTGCAGGCAGGAGAAAGCATTTCCTCAGTCTCCTCTCCCCCAGTCATCAGTCTGCTGCAGGCAGGAGGAAGCATTTTCTTCGTCTCTCCTCTCCCAGTAATCAGATTGCAACATTGTAACTTTGTAGCAAGTCACAGGGACTGATCTGTGTCAGATATTTGTGAACACAGCCAAAAACTGCACACACACCGGGATTTACATGACTAAGTCATCTCTGAGCCGCCACCTCAGTCCAGGAAGTTGATGGAGACCCTGGCTGATGCCTGAACAAGGATGGCTCCGTCCTTCTGGAGAGAAATGCAGATGACGGCATTGTCAGGGGAAGTCCTGTGATCTCTGTGAGCCGTAATAAATACCTGGAAGTGTTACACTGACACATGACCTAACGTGACACATCCTATGTGATGACAGGTCCACTTTAGGCGGCCCCTATAGCACACTACAGACAGGAAGTCTTTTGACTTTTTTTTCTTTTTCAGTCCACAGAAAGGAAACGGCGTCAACCGTCACCTCCCGAGCGCAACAAACCTCCAACCCCCACGTCACAAAGACGGGACTGACGCTCCTGAAAGAGTGCTGCGGCTTCACCTGCTCCATCATGTAACGGCTCGCCGCGCGCCCGCCCGCGCCGACGCTTCACAGATCGGCCGACAGCAAAAGCCTTACTCCGATTGGCTGCAACGGTAACGGTCACCTCGCTGCCGGCGGCCGATGTATTTGCCTTTATTTTACGTGTTCAAAACTGTGTCACCCTCGGGGATGTGTATGGGGCTTGGCTTGTGTCCCCCTTCCCCCCGGGGGGCCCTTCGTACGCCGTCCTCGCACTTTCACCTCATTTACTATTTTTGTGTGCAAAAAGGAAAAAGAAGAACAAATTGGAGAAAAAACATTGGCAGCCGCGACACCGCCGCCAGGAAAAGCGCATTCACAGCGGACAGCTAACCCGGGACTCTGCATGTAAAGTGACCGCATGACATAGCCGCCATGTGACTGACTTCTTCTTTAGAAAAAGATTCACCCAACTTTCACCCAGGATTCACAATTTAAAAAAAGGGGTCAACCGTGGGGACAAGGGTGGGTGAAAAAAAGAAAGAACCCTTAGGGCCCATTTACACTGTCCCCGTTCATCCTGTGAAAGGATTCAAAAGATGAGGAGCTGTGTGTGTGTGTGTGTGTGTGTGTGTGTGTGGCCACACCTCCTCAGCAGGAGGCGGGCACAGGCACAGCCCCTCCCCTTCACTGGTATTGAAGCACAGGCAACCAATGGGGAAACCTATTGTGGTGACAACCGTCTAAGGTTCACAATGTAACCGTACGATCTTTGTTCAATTACCGTATTCTATGTAATATAAGAGCCAACCTGATCTATCCAATCCATTTGTATCCAATCAGGCGCTGTGTAGTCGTTGGCAGATCCAAAGGAGATTGTAGCGCATGTGGGGAGCTTAAGAGGGAGTTTTCCATAAATTGTTCAGATCTCTTGTAACTTCCTGTTGGCTTTGCCTGGACAGGAAGTGAAGAACAATCTCCCCAGCAGGCTACAGACTGCTGAAAAACAGCAGATTTATGGTAAATGATACATTCTCAGGCTTATTGAAGGGAAGTTTGCCTATTGTCTTCTAGCTTTTCTGGTGGGGGGTGAGTTGTAGGGTTGCAAGGCTCTGCCCAGGGGCGTCCCGCGCATTCGCCGTCGTCTTATTGACGCCTGCTCGCGGCCATCTTGGTGATGGACGCCGGCAGAGAGAGGAGGGGACGTTCACCTGGCGGGATGAGGTATGCCGCCGGGTCCCCTCCGCTCTCCTCCAGCTGTCGGGCCCTCGGTCCATGACCGATGCCTGACTTTTCATAGAGGGTGACACCGAAATGACTGTCAGTCATTTTGGTGTCACCCCTCCAATGGTGGCACCCGGGTGCACTCCGCACCCCCCTTGTGACGCCACTGGCTCTGCCATTTCATTTCTGTTGAGTCGGTTAAAAAAAAAAAAAACGGGAGGAGAGGACCTCATGGTCCAACCTACCTCCTCTTACCTACAAGCACAAGGAACTGAGGATACGAGCACAATCAGTGTTGAAGCTTCTCATATCGTTCTCAATCTTGGATTTTTTTTTTCTTGTATTTAGCTGTATGGGGGGACGCAGCAGCACAAGTGAGACTCTTTGGCATGCAGTGGCCGAGTCTACAAGCCTGCGCCTGTTTCCGGTTCAGTGGGGTTGAGAGGAAGTAACAGACCACAAAAGTTGTCCATTGCGGTTACTCTTGTCTCGCCTTGTCAGGTGGGTGCAAGCAAGTGTAGAGGGAAGAAGGAGGTGTCGAGAGAAGTCACAAGACTCTCAGCAGCCGAAGCATCCATGGAACTATCTCTAGTTTGGAGTGGTGTGGTGAGTCTAGTGCAGCTTTTCTCAGCCTTTTTACTAGGGATGCACCGATACCAATACTAGTATCAGTATCTGTGCCGATACCGAGTATTTGGGCGAGTACTCGTATCAGGGAAGGTTGTGGAACATTTGGGTGAGTACTCCCCTAAATGCTCCGATACCTTCTCCACTACAGGAACTTCCGGTCAGAGGAAGATTTCATCTGACCAGCAGTGCCCTAGAGGAACATGGAGACAGCTTCCCGATTGGCCGGGAAGCCGGCTCGATGCTGATTGGCTGGGAAGTCTGTTTCCCGGCCAATCACAATCAAGCCCCGACAAGCAGCATGGAGCCGCCTTCTTGGGCAATCAGGAAGCCCAGGTGGTATGTCATTACCCAGCGCCCAGCTTCCCGATTGCCCAGGAAGCCGGCTCCATGCCTGCAGAAGCACCGGTATCGGTACTCGGTATCGGCGAGTACCGAAAGCAAGGCATCTGTGCTGGCACTCGATACCGAAAAACCAGTATCAGTGCATCCCTACTTTTTACTCCAGAGGGGCCCTTAATGTAATGTTCAGGTCTCAAGGAACCTTGCTAAATTACTTCAATGGAGGTAAATAATGTGGGTGGGAATAATGCCCCTTTATGGTGGTGGTCAGAATGTCACCCTTAGGACAGCTTCGGTGTCATGCCCCTAGCTGTGTTGCACCTACGCAGGCGCCATCAGATGGGAGGTGAATCAGCCACAGCCCAAGGAACCCCTAGTGACCTCTTGAGGAATCCCAAGCATTCCAAGGTTGGGAATTGCTGGTCTAGTGACCACTCTGTATGAAAACCAATTAGCACAATTCCCCCCCCCCCCG